CCATCGGGGTTTGGGTTTTCGTCGCTTGGCAACGACGTTGTAAAACAAGCCCCCCACTCGGTGTTTGCCATCGGGATTGGGTTTTCGTCGCTTGGCAACGACGTTGTAAAACAAGCCAATTCACTTCGTGAACTCGGCAACCAGGTTACCGTTTTTTTTTTTTACCTCGGTTTTTTTTTTTGGCGGTAACCATAATGGTGGTCGAGTAGATCATGTTGTGCGGGGTGGAGAAACCTCACTCCGCGCAACGGGGGATGATCGTACCAAGTTGTGTTAAAATGGTCAAGCTTCCTCGAGGCAGTTACACAGTGCTTACAACTGTCTCTGGAAGTAAAAGCACCAGAAAGTAAATTAACTCATACGTAGCTGTCATCCGTACGCAAGGAAGTAAGCACAAGATGCCGAACACCCTTAGCAGGATGCAGCTCACCCTTCATGCGACTCGCCAAATACCTCACGGCGCTTCGCGCTTGGTGATGTGAGAGCCTGGTCCGGTGAGAACCCGGCGTGCTCCGTCCCGGCTTTGTAGGGATGCGAGGTCAATGGTCAAACGACTACGGCATGCACGACTATGAGTACACCCCCCCCCTCCCTTCTCCCTTTTACACCAGCTTGAGGAGTTTCTATCAAGTACCATGCCATACGTTTGCTGGCTACCAGCCAGGTGTAGCCCCGATCAGGATAGCACTATTTTGTTCTCATTTTCTTGTGGAGATAACGCGGCACAGCACGATTCGCTCACACCCTAAATACCCGCCGCCGCCGCCGCCGCCGCCGCCGCTGCCGCCGCCGGGCATGACAATCGTTCCCGACGACAGGTACGTTCGCTCGTGCGCAAGTGCTCAAGCCTGGCGATGGAGATACCGTCGCGGGATCTAGAGGCTCTCACGGCGACCCTCAACACTTTCGTCATGGGGCCTAGGCCGGCGGCGGCGGCCGCCGCCGCCGCCCCGGGGCATCCGCGGAGTCGAAGCGTGTCCTCTGTGGGAGGGGACAATGAACCGGCCCCGGCAGCAGCAGCAGCAGGGGGGGGAGGAGAGGAGCTCGGAGATTTGCCTCCGGAGGCGGTTATAGAGCTTGGCGGGGAAGAGGGTGGTGATGGTGATGGT